AACGTTTGTCAACATTTATGAATGATAAACGAAGTTCATACAAATACAATAAATCGTAAACTGAATTGAATAGAGTTTTATTGGTTCCGTTATTGGCATCAAACGTATAGTGTTGTTCAATATATTGTGCTAGGATGTTCAAACATTTGATATCATCGAGAGTGACATTACTGATTTCTTAGTTCAAGAGTATTTGCTTTTAATTTAAAACATATTTTTTTCTCAATGGTTGAAAACTCATGTCTTCGATTTATCCATTGTTATGGTGTTGATGTGTGGGGGGCACGTGAAAAGGTTTATTATTTTTTAATATGTTTTATTTATATTTACCTGTATCTCATTTTTAATATATGGTTTACAGATTTATAATTTGAGTGTTGTGTTATGACATAACAGCGTCAAGATATACGTATGAGTGAACATGTATTCGGAACTCCCTAGAGTTGTACGTTGCATTGCTACTGGCAGGGCATTCCATTTTATCGGCATGTTTCCTTTGTTGGTGTGTTTTTCGGGTCCCAGTCAAGTGACCCTGAAAAGGGATTGATGCAGGGGTTGATGGTTGTGTTAATGTAGGCCTATTAGTTTATAAGAGAAGTTCTGTCAGATTGCGTAGTCTTTCGTTGGGATATCCTGTTAGAGCCTTCTACAGAATATTTCACTGTGCCAGCACTATATACTCGGATTTAGTTCCGTACTATCACAAGAAAGCTTACATGAACATATCGCAACCATTCAAAAACACAGTCTCTAGTTACATAACGTCACCTCGAATACACAGGGGAGGGGGCCGTCCTTAAATGACCATAGCTGTTGATTGGACGTAAAACTAATGAGAAAATTTGAGAAATAGCTCTTTGTATTCGTTATATAAGGTGTGGATGTGTTTGTTCTATCTTAGGCTATCTTGTGCCTCTCTATTGGCTGATCTGTTTCTGTTTCCACAAGAGGCTGAATCTATAGAAGAACTTAACAAAACAGGTCGCAAAGACCTTGCAAAATATTTAAATTCCGTTTAAGATATATTGAGACTTATCATCTTTAAATAACAAGAAATATACTGACCTTGTTCATCGTATAACTTACCAGAATTCGAAATCAAGGACACGATATACTCGTCTACATCAGTCGCTTGTCTACAACGAAACAAGCATGTACAGCTTTCCACCAAACTGTATGATAATTATGATGAAATTAATTTCCCTGTTTTGAATCCATTCCTGTACCCCGTCCTATCGTGTTTACATGTTCCAGTTGATTCAACATCCAAGGACCCGTTCTCGTACAACAATTTTCGTGCAAGATGTCGGCAACTTGCAAACTAACAACACAGGGTTTCGAATGGTACAAGTTGATGAAGATTGTAGGAAAGTTTCACAATAGTCATATGATATCATCGGCAATAAATCGTCTATTTGAGCCTTTGTGTGATATAAAGCTGGACGTGTTTGATGCTTGTTAGTATACCTGGTGGTTCTATAGTGTGATATGAAGCTGGACGTGTTTGATGCTTGTTAGTATGTCTTGATGTTCTGTAGTGTGATATGAAGCTGGACGTGTTTGATGCTTGTTAGTTTACCTGTTGGTTCCATTGTGTGATATAAAGCTGGACGTGTTTGATGATTGTTAGTTTACCTGTTGGTTCCATTGTGTGATATAAAGCTGGACGTGTTTGATGCTGGTTAGTTTGCCTGTTGGTTCCATTGTGTGATATAAAGCTGGACGTGTTTGATGCTGGTTAGTTTACCTGTTGGTTCCATTGTGTGATATAAAGCTGGACGTGTTTGATGCTTGTTAGTTTGCCTGTTGGTTCCATTGTGTGATATAAAGCTGGACGTGTTTGATGCTGGTTAGTTTACCTGTTGGTTCCATTGTGTGATATAAAGCTGGACGTGTTTGATGCTGGTTAGTTTACCTGTTGGTTCCATTGTGTGATATAAAGCTGGACGTGTTTGATGCTTGTTAGTTTGCCTGTTGGTTCCATTGTGTGATATAAAGCTGGACGTGTTTGATGCTGGTTAGTTTACCTGTTGGTTCCATTGTGTGATATGAAGCTGGACGTGTTTGATGCTGGTTAGTTTACCTGTTGGTTCCATTGTGTGATATAAAGCTGGACGTGTTTGATGCTGGTTAGTTTACCTGTTGGTTCCATTGTGTGATATAAAGCTGGACGTGTTTGATGCTGGTTAGTTTACCTGTTGGTTCCATTGTGTGATATAAAGCTGGACGTGTTTGATGCTTGTTAGTTTACCTGTTGGTTCCATTGTGTGATATGAAGCTGGACGTGTTTGATGCTTGTTAGTTTACCTGTTGGTTCCATTGTGTGATATAAAGCTGGACGTGTTTGATGCTGGTTAGTTTACCTGTTGGTTCCATTGTGTGATATGAAGCTGGACGTGTTTGATGCTCGTTAGTTTGTCTGTTGGTTCCATTGTGTGATATAAAGCTGGACGTGTTTGATGATTGTTAGTTTACCTGTTGGTTCCATTGTGTGATATGAAGCTGGACGTGTTTGATGCTAGTTAGTTTACCTGTTGGTTCCATTGTGTGATATAAAGCTGGACGTGTTTGATGATTGTTAGTTTGCCTGTTGGTTCCATTGTGTGATATGAAGCTGGACGTGTTTGATGCTGGTTAGTTTACCTGTTGGTTCCATTGTGTGATATAAAGCTGGACGTGTTTGATGATTGTTAGTTTGCCTGTTGGTTCGCTCTTTATATCATTGTCTTGTTCTCATTTTAGAAAGTAATACTGCTTACTTTGACAAAGATTTTTAGATGGCGCTTAACCTTTGGGAACACCTGGTCTTATACTTCTTGTACTTTTCAATGAGTTTCCTATTAAATATTTTTGTCTTTTAAAATATAATTTTGCCCTAGTTTCATCAAATTTATGTTTGGATTATGATTCTATTAACATGTTGGTAATTATAATATCACACCAATATACATGTATAGATGTGGATGGGGTCAAAATAATCTATTTCAACTAAACCTGGAAAGTCACAATTTTATAAACTGGACCTGTTTGGAATGTGGTCATTGATAACGATGACAAATATGTTCACTTGCCTGTCAAGCATGTGTGCAAAAAATTGTGCATTTGAACAATGAACTAGCTATAGGGAATCGGACTACAGAAATGTAAAAAGGATGAACATTTTCTGTAGACTTAATAATAAATGGAAAAAGGAAAAAAAGGGAAAAACACAGAAAATGATCACTTTTTTGACCACATTTGTCTCGATATGTCCAGGGAATACACTATGATCATATGGTATGAAAAGATATTTAACATCACTCTTAAAAGTTTCCTTATGTTATCACTAGCTAGAACTGCTTGCAGAAATATAAATATCAATGTAGCTGATTACCTGGTTGCTTGAGTAGGCCTCAAGTTTATAGTATACATATTCGACTGTAACCGTCCAAAATTTAGCCTTATTTTCTATTGTTTGACCTCACCATCCCACCCCTGACCTCACCATCCCACCCCTCACCATCCCACCCCTGACCTCACCATCCCACCCCTGTTGTTTGTTTCATATGTAAAATCAACCAAAAACACCAACATGTCAACATAATCATAATCCAAATTCAAATTCAATAAAACTAGGACAAAATATGAACAAAAGATTTGAAGCCTGTGAGTAAAGGCAAATGCTTAACTTAATAATGATTCAAGGTGGAGATATTAAAGACAGATACATGACTAGAGTACATAACATTTGTATACTTAGTTCTATACTTGATCGGTCATCCTGAGGACAGCTCTTACCTCCAGCAGATCAAAGACCTCTATATACCATATTTGGTCGAAACTAAATAAAAAAGTCAAAATCAGTTGAAAACTAGATTTTAAAATACTCCAAAATGTAATAATAATTTTATCGGTATGCATTTTATCAAATGACTTCAGATCATGACTAGGAAATCACAAAAAGATCATGTCAAGAAGCAACAAATGAATAAACTATAATTACATTATTTTTCAGGTATTAATATGTCAGTGTTCCTCTGTTATTTGATGTGTGCTAAATATTCCGACACATCCCCATACCATTCACACAAAATTTTACACCTTCCAAGAATAGTATTACAGAATGCTGCAAACTATTTTGTGTCCTGAAACATGGAAACTATTTGAAAAAATACTAATCATTCGTTTACTTTGACTTTTAAGTGTAAATCATCCCAAAATAGTATCTGTGTAACATATTAGCATTCGAAATCCTTCATTAACTACATGACAGCACACTTAACAGAGGTGGTCAGGTGGCGCAGTGGTAACACAGTCGCCTTTCACCTAGCTGTCCGGGGTTCGATTCCTGGAACAGCCATGGAAAGGTATGGGGTCACCTGCCCGACCACATGGGTTTCCCTGGGTACTCCGGTTTCCTCCTACAGTAAGACACCTTGCATACTTACCACCGGGCCAACAAGAGTGATTGATATCAGCTAAAAACATGTTTCGCAATTGTAAAATAAATAAAGCTTATACAATTTATTTATTAAATGCAAAAACTTAACCCTAGAAAAATGATAAAGCCCAAAAAATATTAAAATCTGGGTTTTGTCAAACAAGGAGAAAAACTTATATGGTAAATGGAACTGTACAAGGAAGGTGTAAACCAAATTTCAAGTCAATTGGACGCTCAGAAAACAGATATTTCACCAAATGCATTGACAGAAAAATATTGGGATCATTTGTTCATTTTTTTATAAAAGGGGTGTTACTCTCTGAAAAAGGGGTGTTACTCTCTGAAAAAGGGGTGTGGTGGTGGGGAAATGCAAAGTCACTACATGGAGCACATCTCCATATTGTACTGGTTATTCACACAAAACTTTAAAAAGATCCACTTTGAACTGATGGGATACAAAGCTGGACAATGTTCGTCAACGGACAGATGGACAGACAGACAGACAGATAGACGAACAAGCTGATTCTAGTATATTCCTTCTTTGAACGGGTATAAAAACAAAGACACAACTATATTTTTAAGAATTTTCTGTTCAATCTTTATGACATGTAGTGAACAATGTTGTGTATGAAATTTTAATAGGACACAATACATATACATATAAGACAATATCTACACATTCCTACTATGATTGTCATTATCCACGTTTCAGATAATAAACAAAATGAAACACATTTGCAGCTGTCGATATGGTAAAGACCAAATAATTCAACCTAACTATGTTTCATTTCTTCATCAAATTTCATCAACTTTTGACTGATATTTATTTTTTTCACATTTCTAATCTGCCTTTATTTACATTTTTCATTACTTTTAGAACAGTAGATAAAGAGAAAAATGAAAAAAATAAATACTAACAAAAAAGTGATGAAATAGCTTACAAGAATGCAATGTTTTACAAGCTGAATCATAGAAACAATAGGTCAGTTAAAGAGGGAACAATGTGATATTCTTTATATTATGTATGACTTAGCACACAATAACGTCAACTATATAATTATCAACAGGGGAGGGGTTAAGTTTGACGTTTAGAGTCCACATTACACCTGACATCATATGAACACACGTTCCATGGATAATGGGGGCCACTAACTGAAACTTTTAAAGTGCCATCACACTGAAATGTCATCACCTGATACCTTGCATGAGATCTAATCTGGACACCTTATCCTAACCACTGGCTAACCAGTCTTTGTCGTTCATAGACAACTGACATTGTCATGATAGAAAAATACATTAAAAATTTATGGATTTCAGTAATTCTCTTGATCTCATAAACATTTAAAATTTTAACATCTTACAACAAACCTGTATAAACAATGAGCTCCTGGAAATGATAACGTAATTTAAATGAAAAGAAAATCATTTGGAGTAGAGAAAAGATTTGGTCACTAAAATGTTATCAAGCCGTAGGCTCAAAATATATCACAGTTTCTAACATTAATAGCTTTCGTGGTATGACATGAGTTACAGTACAATAAGATCTGAATCTCACTCACTGATCTGCAGGGATAAACTGAAGATAATTGAGCGCATTATTCCCATTGTCAAACCCAATTTCTATTACTGTTTACACCTCATCAATATCATCTTTACTTATCACCGAAAAAAAATCAAAACTGAACTTGAGTTGATAATACTACTTTAAAATCATTTATTTTTTGTGGTGCTCAAATTTCATGGTTTCCCAAAAATATATGTATTTTTTGGTTGGCACTTGACCTCATTCATGTTTAAATCTTGCCCATGAAATCTGCTAGTACTGTAATCTATGCAATCTTTTATGCATTTGTTATTTTATGGTGAAATAAATTCATGGATTTATAGTAGCATCTAAAACAATGAAAATAAATCTCCCACAAAAAATAAAGACTTTACAGTTTATATATCTTACTTATCTAATTTTTTGCTCTTTTTGAGGATAAAATGGAAATCTAAAAAATTAGATACCTCAAAAAGTGAATTTAAAAGGAAACTTCATTGAATGACTTCTGTGAAAAACATGTCTTTCATGCTTCAATATTTTAGTTCAATTTAAATCACACAATAACAATTACATGAGAAATCTGATGGCTGACATGAACAACATAGACATATTGAATTAAGGTTTACAGACATAGAAAAGATATTTTGGCAAATAGTACTAAAACAAACTGGTGTCAGGCCTGTCTTCCTCAATTCTAATGAATGTTTAATCAATAAACATGTCTGAACATAAAACTTTGACACATCATAAAAAAATCAATCTTTACATTGAAATAAACAAACAGTGATTAGTAAACTGAAAAAAATATATATGATATGAACTATCATTCAGGAATAAAAGATAAACATAACACAATATACCAAACCCTCCATTTCAACCCGAACTCTAAAATCATTGTAGGGGGGCACATTGGCTAAGTGATTAAGTGATCTGAGCGCCTATATGACAGGCCCACCACCTCTTGATCATGGGTTCGAGACCTTCATAGGGTAGTTGCCACGTACTGGTCGAAGGTCTGTGGTTTTTCTCCACCAACCAAACCTGGCATGTCCTTAAATTACCCTGGTTGTAAATTGTTGATTAAAACAACAATAAACGGTACCAAACCAAAAATCTGTGTCTATTTTACTTTATCATTGTTACATGATCCCAGAATACCATTTACAGAAAACAACACAGACTTATTTAGGTTTATATTCAAAACATTTTAAGTCTACAAAAAATTAACCAGCATCATTAGTATCAAAATTTGTCAGAAATCCAAAGACAGCATTTTACCATAAAATGTCTTTCACTTTCCAGTAATTTAATCCTGAAAAAAAATAAAAAAAAAAAAACCCTGAACAAAAAATTAATTTATACAATTCTTTAAATAGCATCTTATCATTATACAGCTTCCATGTACATAATTTTGATTGCTGTTTTATATCAGTATCCATGTAAGAGTAAATGGGTAGTAGTGAAATTTGATTACATGACATAATGGTGGCTGAGGGTATCACTATAAGACCCTGGCCATGAAATAGTGGAGCTCTAGAAAACTACGGTTAAAATGAGCAGCATGTTTTGACTTTTCAACAGCATTTTTAACAAAAATATCCTGCTGAAGGTAATTTGAATCACACACAATGTAATAAATCACAGTTTGATTGATGTCGGTGATCCATTTCATATGTTCACAGAGAAATAAACTTTCTTCTTCAAAGTATCTGTTGTCAATTCTGGCATTTTAAATCGCTCTGATTTGGTTCGAGCTTCTCCAAGCAATTGTTCCACCTAAAATGGAATATTATATGATAAGTCAACACATTTGTAAACAATGAAACACATGTATTCATATTTCATTAAAAAAAAATCAGCAAAGAATATTTAAGTGTAAGAAGAAAAAGTATGACTTTGCTTGCTCCAATGCATATAACATTGTATCATTGATTGAGGAATTTTCAGAGACTGTCAGAAGTGACCTTTGACCTTTTAACCTTGACTAATGACCCCCTTAATGTGATAAGGTGTAGAACTTGATATCATTATACAGATATCTTGGTACAGTAGTTGTAGTTACATATACCATTAATTTTTTCTTCAAAACTTCCCTGGAACATTCACCTGTTTCCAAGGGGAATGATAAATCTGTTTTTCCCTTGGGAAAGACAGCTCATGGATAATTTGATATCAAAACTCACAGTAGGATTGTCCATATTTAATATTATGTAACTATATCAAAATTTGAGGTATTCAGTTTGAACAGATGTGTCACCAGTCACTGATAATGGCCATTTTGTGAATACAGGTATATAAATTCACATTTATCAAACATCAAATTTGAGTTTATTCGAAGTCTCTCCCCAGATTAGAGGGAAATAATCATTGCTAACCATAAAATGAAATATTTCTTTTGATAAAAACATGTGGACAAGCAATTAGTGAAGACGTCATATCTAAGGTGAGCTATTTATAGTACACAAACAATAGAACACTACAGGACTACAGCTATGACACTACAATGCAGCGCCAGGTGAGTCGACAATTTCTGTTTATGTAGTAATAACAATTTCCTGACATATTTGAAATCACATTTGAGGTTTCTCGCAAATTAGGACAAAATTAAAGTTCACAAAAACTAAACGTAATCTGTTACTTACAGTTCATGACAATAACTTCTAATATTACACAACAGCTAGAGAAAATTAATCAATTAAACATGTTTGATGCGCACACGGTTATCTCTGTCCTACGAATGATTTTTTAAAAAATGTAAGCATAGCATGTATACTTCTAAAATGTTACCCCTGACTTAAGATTTTTCTGTCCAATTATCACACAGATGTGAAGGATTCTAGTCATCAATTTACCTTAACCATCATTTCTTGGAGGCTGTCCTTGTGAAGGGACTCGCAGAAGACTTTTACCAATGCCTGCAGCATCAAGGAACCCTTGTATATCGGCTTTCCTTCACCTGTCAAAGGTCAAAGAAATATTGTATGAGCTACAACAGAAAACCTTCTAAGTTAATCAAAGCTGAGTGGAATACAGGTGTCTGTAACCACCTTGTATGGTGTATAATAACAACTACAGGCACCTGTAACCACCATTGTATCTATGAGATAAGAACCGGTATGGTATACTTTTAAGTACTACAGGCTCCTGAGGAGTGAAAAGTACATACACATTCATGTTCTATATTTTCCTACAATAAGCTTAGGGTGCAAACACATCAATTCTTAATCAAAGTCATTATATTGCATTTAAAATACTATTTCTAGTTGATTAATTTGAATATTATAATTAAAACAGATGTATTTGTGTAGATTTTTTTTCAATGAATTCAGTACTCTGTAAAGTAAATTTTAAAAAAAATCATGTTAGGTTTTGCATCATTATGTATTCTTACTCTCATGAAAGAAAAAACTAACTTTGTACTTAAAAATTAACAGAATTTACATGTAGAAAGGAATAAAGTGCAAAGTACAAGAAAATAGTATGATTGCAGCTTTTCATGGTTTTAAACATTAATAAAAAGTTGATATTTTTTAGGCGAGTCTAGTAAACTGAGATGGGTTTCTCTTTCAATTCTGTTTTCACTCTGTCTATTTTTTGTGATCATACTAACCAAGTGTCCCAGCCATGTAGATATAAAAGTCATCCATGGTGTTTGATGGGCAGGAATCTGTACTATCTACTCCTAATTCCCTCCATGGTGAGTCTGATTCTCCGACTAATGGAGTCTTAAGTGGTGTTCTCTGTACAACACTGCCTAGTTTTGGAAAAGTTTCAGGAATATCTAAAGTAACATAAGAAATAGAATTGAAGTAATTTTCTGTGTTGCATCATGCAACACTCCTACTGCTCTACCTAGTAACTGTTGCAATGTGTGTTAAGCTGTCATCAAATATCACAGTCACAGAAATAACAGGTAGAACTAAACATGAAGATTTACCTACAAATTAAATTCTAAATTAACAAATTTTCTGACTGATATATAAAATAAATTGGGCAGAATTGGAATTGAAAAACTAACCAATATATATGTGGAGGTTGATTCTATATTTTCAATTTGTTGTAAACTTTAGCTTTGGACTAATTTTGTGGAGATTATTTTTGTGGTAGTCTATTTTGGGCTACTTCATTGGTATTTATTTTCACGTTTGTCAATCAGTTTTTCTAACAACATGAGGAATACCACATGTGGTTGTCTCCCTTCCTTTGCCTTTTGTCCACTATTTACTCTAAACACACATTCTTGCCAGTTCCCAGTGGTAATAAAACAGCAAAGTAACTTGATTGTATCCTTTTTGGCATGTGTTGACTGGGAGAAAGTTTGGAGAGACAAATAAAATGTTTTAATAAGTATAATGTGCCTGGTACTCGCTTACACAGCCAAACAGCAACCTGACAGGACAGAATTTAGTATAACTATAGACAGGTAATCAACTGTGATAGTTTTCCTTTTCATAACTAAACCCCACCATGACATCACATCTAGTCATCTTCCTTGTCATGCAAGGACCTGAGCAAGCAAGATTCTGATGCACAGACTTGTTACTGGTAACAATCTTGCTGTCATGTCTTTTACAATTGTCTGACCCTTAGAACTTGCATGCACACAACTGGAAAATAATCAAATGACCTTTCCCATTGTAAAATGGCAGTAAAATGGCAAGGAAATCCATTCAGAATCAAATTCATCCAATATCCAACATCAGCATCAACATGAAATGTGTCATCCTTCCAGTTGTACCTAACACCAACAGAAGTATGAACATGTGGTTGTCTCTCGTACCATTGTACCTAACACCAACAGAAGTATACACATGTGGTTGTCTCTCTTACCATTGTACCTAACACCAACAGAAGTATGCACATGTGGTTGTCTCTCTTACCATTGTACCTAACACCAACAGAAGTATGCACATGTGGTTGTCTCACTTACCATTGTACCTAACACCAACAGAAGTATGCACATGTGGTTGTCTCTCTTACCATTGTACCTAACACCAACAGAAGTATGCACATGTGGTTGTTTCTCTTACCATTGTACCTAACACCAACAGAAGTATGCACATGTGGTTGTCTCCCTTACCATTGTACCTGAAACCATCGAAAGTATGAACATGTGGCTGTCTCCCTCATCATTGTACCTAACACCAACAGAAGTATGAACATGTGGTTGTCTCCCTTACCATTGTACCAGAAACCAACAGAAGTATGCACATGTGGTTGTCTCCCTTACCATTGTACCTAACACCAACAGAAGTATGCACATGTGGTTGTCTCCCTTACCATTGTACCTGAAACCATCGAAAGTATGAACATGTGGCTGTCTCCCTCATCATTGTACTTAACACCAACAGAAGTATGCACAAGTGGCTGTCTCTCTTACCATTGTACCTAAAACCATCGGAAGTATGAACATGTGGCTGTCTCCCTTATCATTATACCTAACACCAACAGAAGCATGCACATGTGGTTGTCTCCCTTACCATTGTACCTAACACCAACAGAAGTATGCACATGTGGTTGTCTCCCTTACCATTGTACCTAACACCAACAGAAGTATGCACATGTGGTTGTCTCCCTTACCATTGTACCTAAAACCATCGAAAGTATGAACATGTGGTTGTCTCCCTTATTATTATACCTAACACCAACAGAAGTATGCACATGTGGTTGTCTCTCTTACCATTGTACCTAACACCAACAGAAGTATGCACATGTGGTTGTCTCCCTTACCATTGTACCTAACACCAACAGAAGTATGCACATGTGGTTGTCTCCCTTACCATTGTACCTAAAACCATCGAAAGTATGAACATGTGGTTGTCTCCCTTATTATTATACCTAACACCAACAGAAGTATGCACATGTGGTTGTCTCTCTTACCATTGTACCTAAAACCATCGGAAGTATGAACATGTGGTTGTCTCTCTTACCATTGTACCTAAAACCATCGGAAGTATGAACATGTGGTTGTCTCTCTTACCATTGTACCTAAAACCAACAAAAGTATGCACATGTGGTTGTCTCTCTTACCATTGTACCTAACACCAACAGAAGTATGCACAAGTGGCTGTCTCTCTTACCATTGTACCTAAAACCATCGAAAATATGAACATGTGGTTGTCTCCCTTATCATTATACCTAACACCAACAGAAGTATGCACATGTGGTTGTCTCTCTTACCATTGTACCTAACACCAACAGAAGTATGCACAAGTGGCTGTCTCTCTTACCATTGTACCTAAAACCATGGGAAGTATGAACATGTGGCTGTCTCCCTAACCTTTTTACGGATCACTAATGGAAGTATACACATGTAGTTGTCTCCCTTACCATTATACCTCACACCTTTGGAAGTATGCACCAGTGGCTGTCTCCCTTACCATTGTACCTCACACCTTTGGAAGTATGCACAAGTGGCTGTCTCTCTTACCATTGTACCTAAAACCATTGGAAGTATGCACAAGTGGCTGTCTCTCTTACCATTGTACCTCACACCTTTTGAAGTATGAACATATGGTTGTCTCCCCTTACCATTGTACCTCACACCTTTGTAAGTATGAACATGTGGTTGTCTCCCTTACCATTGTACCTAAAACCATCGGAAGTATACACATGTGGTTGTCTCCCTTACCATGCCTAACACCATCAATGAAGACCAGCTTGGGAACCCCAACCAGTCTCGCTTCCTCATTCAGACGATCTGTGATTTCCTCCAGCTGAATTCTCTCCCCTTTACTTCCAGACAGTGACTTAGTATGTGGATTATAATGAGTCAGAATGAAGACAATATAACAGCTATATTGTTTTTTTGCCAAAGCGTCTTTTTCCCTGTCCAATTTCTCTCGTATTTGCTGTAAAATGAAATAGTTATCACCTTTAACATTACACTGCTGTGAATATCAGAATATAAACAAGTGAATCAGAATGGCTGTTCTATCTCAAAAGGATTGTAACAAATATTTCACATTATTTCTAGCCAATATGAAATGAACTATGACATTGATAGTATACGTGAATGACAAATACAGCAGGCAAAAATCAATTTTGCTAGGCAGTGACAATTGAAACAAACAAAAGATAAATAAGATACTATGATAAGAAACTGGATAGTAACATTTTCTCACAACATTTGTGGTGTTTTCATCCATACCATAAATTAATCATCCATGATTATAAACAATATTTTTAAACACAATTCACCTGTACGGATTGGTCTGTGTATGATTTGACATCATATTTCAAGTCCTTGAATAACAGGCACAGACAGGTGGTATCAAAGTCACCATTAATTTCTGGTTCTGATGGAAACCTCTTGTTGTTGAAAATGAGTACTCTGCCTTTTTTATCACATGGGTATGAATTTGTTGTATCCTGTGAAAAACAAAATTAAACTGGTTATAGAAAATCCTTTCTATAATTTTACAAATTTACATAAAACCACAATAAGTAATAATATTAATAATAATAATAAAAAAACACTCCTTATCTGAATGAATTACATTTACAAAATTCTTAAAACCGGTTTGAATGATGATAAATGATAATCTGTATGGTCTTTTTTTAATATTCAGCTTTTCCACCTTGGATTCTTTATTTAAATTCCTTGATCTGTCAAGAAATCAAAAAAGTCTTACTCGAGTCCTTTCTGTACTATCCACAGTGTCAGAGTTTGGACCTCTCTTCACCTTGACCTTGTCTAGTGTGTCCCCTGTGTGAGGTGGCCAGTCCACTATAGGATGGTTAATAACAAACATGGTTATACTGATTTGTGATTGGAAAAACACAATGAATTTCAATTACTTCATTTATTTATATTTTCTATCAGCAGGCCTTCATTAGATCCCTAAATGTTAGCCACTTTCTGATCAATCCCTGAATGTTAGCCAGTTTCTGATCAGTCCCTAAATGTTAGCCACTTTCTGATCAATCCCTGAATGTTAGCCAGTTTCTGATCAGTCTCTAAATGTTAGCCACTTTCTGATCAGTCCCTAAATGTTAGCCACTTTCTGATCAGTCCCTATATGTTAGCCACTTTCTGATCAGTCCCAAAATGTTAGCCACTTCTGATCAGTTCCTAAATGTTAGCCACTTTCTGATCAGTTCCTAAATGTTAGCCACTTCTGATCAGTTCCTAAATGTTAGCCACTTTCTGATCAATCCCTGAATGTTAGCCACTTTCTGATCAGTCCCAAAATGTTAGCCACTTTCTGATCAGTCCCTATATGTTAGCCACTTTCTGATCAGTCCCAAAATGTTAGCCACTTTCTGATCAGTCCCTAAATGTTAGCCACTTTCTGATCAGTTCCTATATGTTAGCCACTTTCTGATCAGTCCCTATATGTTAGCCACTTTCTGATCAGTCCCAAAATGTTAGCCACTTCTGATCAGTTCCTAAATGTTAGCCACTTTCTGATCAGTCCCTATATGTTAGCCACTTTCTGATCAGTCCCTAAATGTTAGCCACTTTCTGATCAGTCCCTATATGTTAGCCACTTTCTGATCAGTCCCAAAATGTTAGCCACTTCTGATCAGTTCCTAAATGTTAGCCACTTTCTGATCAATCCCTGAATGTTAGCCACTTTCTGATCAGTCTCTAAATGTTAGCCACTTTCTGATCAGTCTCTAAATGTTAGCCACTTTCTTATCAGTCCCTAAATGTTAGCCACTTTCTGATTAGTCCCTAAATGTTAGCCACTTTCTGATTAGTCCCTAAATGTTAGCCACTTTCTGATCAGTCCCTAAATGTTAGCCACTTTCTGATTAGTCCCAAAATGTTAGCCACTTTCTGATCAGTCCCTAAATGTTAGCCACTTTCTGATTAGTCCCAAAATGTTAGCAACTTTCTGATCAGTCCCTAAATGTTAGCCACTTCTGATCAGTCCCTAATGTTAGCCACTTTCTGAGCAGTCCCTAAATGTTAGCCACTTTCTGATCAGTTCCTAAATGTTAGCCACTTTCTGATCAGTCCCTAAATGTTAGCCACTTCTGATCAGTCCCTGAATGTTAGCCACTTCTGATCAGTCCCTGAATGTTAGCCACTTTCTGATCAGTCCCTAAATCAGTCCCTAAATGTTAGCCACTTTCTGATCAGTCCCAAAATGTTAGCCACTTCTGATCAGAGAGAATTTAACAATCCCATTCTTCTTATGAATTAGCAATAACAACCCATAACTATTAAAATTCTCAATGGTTACCTGTCAGCCATTTTTGTTTTTCCAATCAGTCCCGAAATAGAGCATGTACACAACTTGAGACCCATAGGAACCTACATACTGGTACAACATTTTACTATAACCCATACATCACTTCTGGAAGAATATAAATAACTATAACTGCCTTCTTGTGAGTAACTTAAATACCACTCCCAAATAGATACACTTAAGTGACCTCATCATTTTCTGTATGCTACGGCTCCTTAATTACCATATATTGTAAAAGTTATGTGCCTTAACACAAATACATGTCACCATGACAACCAAATGACATCAGATGTTTTGTAAATTAGTTCCATTGTAATTATTACAAATCTTCTAACTCCTTATACATCAACTTTCAGGATGATTGGACAATATCTCAGTTTCCACCAATCGGAAGCCTCCATTATGTTACCATAGTAATGGTTCTGGAAACACTTAATTTATAGGCTTAAATTATAGGCTTTGAAAAGTGCCACCATCTGACCACGTTTTTTTTTTTTAAATTGATATAAGGACTGATGAGTTATGGGCCATTTCGCAACCAAAACTTCTGCTGACAAATTTTATACACAGGTGCTTGTTATATAGAGTTGGGTTTTATAATAAGGAATTTGTTATATACAGAATGTATGTACAGACAGTTGTTTTATATTTAGGTGGCCTTTATAAACAGGTTTAACTACATATACATGTAAGATTTTCAGCTGGAGTTACAACATGCTGCAGTTACATTTTATCACTCAATCTTCTGTTCTCCTTCAGAGAAACTGTAACAGGCCTATTAAACTGTATAGTTATTCTCAAGTTTTATATAAATACCGTTGTCTTCATCACTTTCATTGACCTGTCCTCTGGAGAAAGAAAAGCTTGATGTTTCTTGGTGTAGGAGGGGACTCATTGATTGTAATGGAATGTCCTGTTGTGTTTGCTGTCTATGGAAAACGTCATCACTAGCCTGTGTGACAATGCTAGACATCTGATAAGACACTTCAGAATTTACATTGCTGGAGAGACGTTTCCTGACTTGAGTTGTATTAGTCAGCTGACTGTTATCAGTATTGACAATATTCTGTAGTATAGACACTGTGCTGCAGCCACTCTTTGTAGATTCGGAGAATGAAGGTTTACGTCTACAAACCGATGAAGCTAAAAAGAGGAATTCTTGGTTAAGTGGGACAGTGGTAATACACTTGTTTTTCATCTACATGACCTAAGTTTGAATTTCTCAGTCTATACAGTCTGTGCAATGTATCCAGACATAGAAATTCTCGGATTAGTTTAAATAATCAGATATCACTCTATGATATTAACGTAAAAAAACCCATTTAATTTGTAGATGTTATCAACCTTATTGAAAAATAATTATTTCAGAACTTTCTGATCGGCTGTAACTGTAGCAAATACATGATTCTTAAGAAAAAGGCAGATCAAACTGCCATAAAACAGCCCGCAAAAAAAACTGTGCCTTGGAGTTTCTTAAAATAGATTGATTTCCCATTGATAAATATAGACTTTTAAATTGCATCATATCAAAAGTGAAAGTGGATTAACTTTTGGAAATATTTTCTGTTTGATTTTAAACCTAAGTGTATTGTTTGTATAATATGTATTATGATATTTTTTTAAAATTTTGTAATATATTTCATGATATAATTAAACCATAAGTGTTAGATTTTTATCTTACTGTTAATTAAATTTCATTTCCTGAAAATTTAAAACTGAAATAAAATGTATTTTTATCATTAAACTGCCTGCCTTTTGATTTATTTTGTGTGATACATTGTTTTATAAAATTCAGAAAAAAAAAGAAATTATGTATCTTAAGGATTTATAGTCCTGTAACTATGACAAAAGATGTGAGATTTTTACCTGTAATTAACAAACTTCTCTAAGATGTCATTCATATAAATTAACATACCAAACTAAGTTCAAATCTGATGAAAAAAAATGTAAATGATCTGATGAAAATTGAAGAAAATGCCTTTTGAATATTTTGAATAAAGCCATGAATAATACCTTTTTTATTAGGTTGGAGAAATCAAATACTGACTTCATCAAAAGGCTAAATAATACATTTTTTGTTTTATTAATGACTGCCTCTACCGGCAGTATTTTCACTCGAGCTTCACCTCGTATGCGGAGTCCTAGAGTCCTGTCCACAAATCTTTCACAAGTTTCCTTCCATTCTTCTTCTGTTGAGATAGTTATCTCATCACCATCATCTGCAGAGAAAACAATTCCAATAAATATCCATAAAAAAATATCAAACCTTTGTCATCTTTAAAAAAAATTATTTCTTCTGTGTATTTCATTAAAACAAATTTACAATGACTCCCAGTGTTGTTATAAACCTTCCACCAATGTTGTGGTACATGGTAGGTTTATAAGAACATTACAAGAGGGATATTTTAGTGGCAAATATGCTGGTAAGTATAGTTGTTGGGGAAAGATGTGTAGAAATGCTTAGTTTACAATGTTTTAAGGCCCTAATGAACTTTTATATATATGGATATATATATATATACATTTATATACAAATTGATATGGGCTTATATAATTTGTATGAAAGTTCATATAAGAAAATATATATATATATATATATACAAGTTTATATATGAAGGTACACTTATGCATGGAAAATTTTATGAAGTGAAATCTATGTACATGTGTGATGAAAACTTGATGAAGTGGCATATATGTACATGTGCAATGAAAACTTGATGAAGTGGCATCTATGTACATGTGTAATGAACACTTGATGAAGAGGCATCTATGTACATGTGTAATGAACACTTGATGAAGAGGCATCTATGTACATGTGTAATGAAAACTTGATGAAGTGGCATCTATGTACATGTGTAATGAACACTTGATGAAGAGGCATCTATGTACATGTGTAATGAACACTTGATGAAGAACACTTGATGAAGAGGCATCTATGTACATGTGTAATGAACACTTGATGAAGTGGCATCTACGTACATGTGTAATGAACACTTGATGAAGTGGCATCTATGTACATGTGTGATGAAAACTTGAAGTGGCATCTATGTACATGTGTAATGAACACTTGATGAAGTGGCATCTATGTACATGTGTAATGAACACTTGATGAAGAGGTATCTACGTACATGTGTAATGAACACTTGATGAAGTGGCATCTATGTACATGTGCAATGAAAACTTGATGAAGTGACATGTATGTCCATGTATATACATCATCTGTACATGTTCTAGCAGTAAACAGGATCAATAAAATAGCAACAAAATTCTTGGAATTTCAATGTAGGATGGACTGAGGTGACTCACCATTATAAACTAAATCCAAATTGGCATCCTGGTTTGCCAGGAATGGAAACCAACTCTGTACCTCGTTCTTTACATCCTCAAACTTTGATGATGAATTTATATTGCGAATATGGGTTTCTTTAAGTGTTGCTTTCACTCTGATCTGACCTCTTGCACTATCATCCATTCTGAAATTAAGTCTAATCAAGATATATGATATAAACATATGAAAAGCTTTACAATGATCAGCATTCCACCTTGGTTAAGCTAACTTAGGCTTCCATATACCATTTTTCCAAACTTCTTTGAGATTAAGTTAAATATCAGAAGGTCACATAAATGTATACATTATACGTGTACGTGTTACGTATGTTTACATCTGTATAAGCACGTTAATTTACTGTGAATTAGTACAACTTACACCAACTGAAAATATCCAAATATTGGTTTCTGAATGGATTTGATAATTAGATAATATACTATATATGGACTATTGGTTATTTCCAAATTCCTTCCCATTTCCTTTTTTCTTGTGTTTATGCTATTCAGTATACAGTATTTCTAGTATTTGTTTTCTTTTTTAGACATGAGGGTCAGCGTTAATTTGCTTATACTTACTCATCTACAATATATATATCTTTATGAAAGATCCTTTTCTTTGTTTTTGTAAATATCCATGTTTCTTCTGGGTTGGGAAAACGAAAGTAGGAATTTTGCGGGGATTTCCAATTTCCGTCTATCATCGTGGTCATTGATATGTTTTATTATTCCTCTAATTTCAAGCGTTTTACATACCCGAATCAGACAAAACTTTATTGCACCACGTTTTCGTCTCCTGTCAAATCCGCCTTAAACCACAACAGCCTGGTTTGATCACCTTACAACCTGCGTGATCTGCATTTTCAGACGCTGTAGAGTAATTTAGAGGCTTAATCAGAGTGACACAACTTTAACCAAAATCATTGGTTTTGTGTGGAGACGAATGTAAATTCGACGGTAAACACCACATATTCCAGCACAGGATTAATCTTTTTTAAACAGGTATACAATTCTTTTTTGTATTCTCTATGTTATCAACATCTCTGTTTACTACAGAATTAGATATAGATATAAGTCCGTACAATTACCCTCTTCTCATTTACTTTAGTGTAACGTAATGTATTTTACTTTATGGCATCATGCAGTTTCATAGTGACATTTAAAAAAATGTTTCTTATAAAAAAACTGAGTTTATATCTATGATTATTTGTTGATCGCTGATTTAATTAACAAACTAATAATTGAAGGTCTATTATAGATAGAATTTTACTTGTGCACTTCTATCTGATGTATAATACCCTAGAAAATATGAGTCACAATTTACACATGTACCACTTGCACCAAACTATAGATCCAGAAAAATTGTTAGCTTGATTGGCCATATGGCTTGAGTGTAAAATTATGAAACCAAAGGCTCTAATATTATTCCTAGTATAGATGTTGAAATAAATATAGGAACTTGGTAAAAACACACAGTGTGATTTCATGAACAGTTGAAAAACTGAAGAGTAGAAGTTTTTTCTATGTGGGAGAGTTATGTTCTGTATCACTACAGATACTAGCTGCTATATACCTCTCAGCAAGAGAGAACTACTGAATAAATTTATTTTCATTTATTTTACAGCCTTTACATCCACTGTAACGGCCTTTCAGTGTGGACAAGAACTTGTTAACAGTTGAGCGTAAGATTAATAGACCAGAGGTCACTTAGATTCAAATACTAGCAGAGACACCGAAATAGATACATTTCTACTTTCATTTGAAAATTTGATGTTTTAAACTAATGTAATAAATTGTAATGTAGAATTTTAGATAAAAATGTAGTGTTTGATTTGGTAATGTATGCTTGTATCAAAATATTGACGTAAAGAGCTTGTTATATGTAACAGAGGTCATTATTTATTTTAATGCCTTTGTAGGAATCGAACCTGGGACCCCTGGCTTACTAGTCTGACGCTCATTCAGTCGAGCTGAAGAGAAGTTCTCTCTAGCTGAGTGGTATATTGCGGCTAGTATTTTACCAGGGTTATATGCATGATGTAAGATACAAAGATATTTTGAGAATTGTAGGCGTCAGTGGATAGCCAAATTATGTTGATGAAATGATAATCTAGGATTTGTCTTTACCTGTGTTTTCATTTGTTACAGTAGCTAGTGTTAAGACATTCGAAATCCTTCAGTATGTCAGCCATGGATCAGAGTCAGCCGCCAACAAATTTATTTGGAGGAGCAATGTCCGCTGTATTCCCTCCAGATGCTCAAGACATGAGGTTTGTATTTCAAAATCATATCTATCTTACATCTAATAAATCTCCTTGGTATATTTGCCTCTCATCTGTTTTGGTTGATATAACATCAAGTTAGTGATAAAATTTCCGAATCTTTTTTGAAATCAGGCGGTAGAGCCAACGCCGTTCGTTCTGATTGAGTGGGTAGGTGGTTTCTACACTCCTCAGTCGGATACCTGATGGTATGCACGGCGATTGATCAATAGAACAAATCAAGTTAAACATATCAATCACAACGGCCTCGGAGTGTGTGGTTCTTGAGTCTTTATTATGTTGTTCGTCTATCGGTTTCGCCCTCTCGGGCTTCCTCTGTTCATAAAGCAGAATGAGAATACATACATTGGTAAGAAATATTTCAGCTGCATGAGCTGATATACATTTCTTGTTATATACAATCCTTGTCTTTTGTAAAGTTCTTTTTAACGCAAATTGCTTGAACATGTTTAATTTGAAATTTATGAAACATTGTTACCACAAAGAAAACAAACTGGCCATAGATTTTGTCTTAAATTTACAGGTATATGATTGTTACACAACTGTGTTGTTTTTTTCAGTAAATTTAGGGAAATCCCAGACCATCAAGAGGTCTTCACACACTCCACTACTGATCAGAGTATCATTATAGAAATCCTGGAGTATGTTCAAGAGCCTGATGATGTTGCTCTCAAGTAAGACCATCTATAATTATTATCAGTTAATATTATACAATACAAATGTACAGTATATTTTTGATGACCAGTACAATATGTTTTCTAAAACATTTCCACATTCATTTGTAAAATGGACAGTTTTATTGAAATTTGGATAAAGAAAAATTACAATTGATAGTCATATGAATTAACCAATTAGCAAGTTTCAATGAAATGTTTGATGCACTACACGATTCATTGTGCAATTTGCCTTTCAAAAAATCCTCTGCAATCTCTTAAGACATATCTCCCTGTAAGTGTAAATGTCTGGTGTTACACTGCCAGATTTTTTTCTTGCAGGTAAATTTGATAATTAAAAGATATTAACACTGTATATGATCTTTCAATTTCATTTTGGTCTTCAAGATGTCCGCTAGCCAAAATAAAAAGCACATCAAATATCTATTTTGGTTTGTAATTTCTGTAACCTGTGTAGGACACACTACGACGACTTGGTACGAGACAATGAAGTGAGTGAGGGTGATCATGTGATCCTGGAAGCAGAAGAGATACCTGTCCATAAGCTAGCTATGTCACAGTAAGTGTTTGTGCCAAACTCATGTGTACGATTATAAGTTCTTTTTAAATAAACAAATTTTTCATTATCAATAGTTTTACCTGTCAAGAGAACAGCCATTTTGACGGTGAACAATCACTGTTTCCATGCCAACAACACTGACATTATTGTTACATACTGGATGTCATGAAGGATATCTTGAACCACACTTTTTACTGATCAATAGTTTATTTCATTGGTATGGCCTTGCAGTTTTGAAATATAAAAGCACTTAATGTGAAGAAATCATTTAAAAATTTGTTGTTGTCTTTCTAGGTGTGAAAGTGCCCGTTATGTCCTTGGGCAACAGAAAGTCTCGAAGTTTAAGGAAGATTCTAAGAATACAATTAACATACACATGGGTTTGTTCCGGATCCCGGAATTCACCTCCGACATTCTTGTGACCTTCAATGACCCTGTCATGATAAGGTGTGTGCTGCTGATGTTTATGTTTACTTACTGTAAAGGCTGTTGTTTTGGGGGTGTTTAAATTTTTCCATTTTCAAGACTGGAATAGAATGATGAAAACTGATAACCCTAAAACAGTAAAGATTGCTTTAAACTTTTGTTAGATATGCAAAAGTTTGAACAGTTGAAAAAAACTTTGAAGTTGCAGTATGCATGTTCTGTTCCAAAGAAAAATCAACAAATTCAATACCTTAATCAGCTCAAGGGTATCAATTTTCATTTCTTTTCTTGGCTTACATGAGTTAGTTTGATATCAAATTTGATTTTTAATTTAAAAATGTAATTTTTAAAACTTACATTTAAGGGGAAGCATAAGCCTTAAATTTGATCCCAATTCTAGACACAAGTTACAAAGTAAAACAACTTTATAATTGGATTCATATTTTTCCAAACATCCAATAAAGACATTAGAAGATATCTAGGTGAAAATTGCTTGTTATGACATCAGTTTATCAAAATTACATACATTATGTAGGTCTGATGTTCCAATCCACACCACAGAACTTAAAAAAAAGTTGCCAACAAAAAGTATTAATAAATTATCACTGTCTTTACTTGTTTTCCCAAGCACGTCTAGCAGTTATTTTTAATCTCATGACTGAAAAATTTCATTTATTCAGAAATTTCAGCTTTTTAGAAATTGTTTGTTTCCTTTGTTTCAGTTTTTTGAGCAGCAGTAATCAGGCTGTTCCAACTAATTCTAATCGCTGGACCGTGGAAAAGTTTCAGAAGCTCTTAACTTCGTTGACCATCAACGATACTGGACTGTTTGGAGCTGAATAAACTGACTTTTCTCATGAATAAAGTCAGTCACTAAGCGCCTAGCGGATGTTTCACTCAAATCATTAACGATAATGATGGGAACTTCTGGGAAGGGACCAGGGCAAGTAGGTTCATGAGCAGATATAGGATGGGAAGGTGCTGTACACTACATGTATGCCCATGCAGGTGACTTTAGAAACTTGGGATCTTTGAGATACATAATATACCCATATCTAAGGGAAGCTTGCAACCCACTACTAGAGTATGTAGAAGCAGTCTGTCCACACATGGGTATGTGGAGCCATCTACCTGTAAATAGTTTGGGATAAAGCCATCCATCTACAAAAGGGTATGTTGAAACCATCTACCCACTACAAGGATACATTGGAAGGACAGATCAAAACAAATATGTTTTGGAGGAATTTTTCAACAATCAATTTCCTATAGAGATAGGAAGGACAGATGAACGGACCCACAACCAGTGTACTAAGGAGGGATTTTACCACAACAAACCCTATAGGGATAGAAAGGATGGATGAACACACACAACCAGGGTACTGTGGAGGGATTTTTCAGCAACTAATTCCCTATAGGGATAGGAAGGACAGATGAACAGACCCACAACCAGTGTACTAAGGAGGGATTTTACCACAACAAACCCTATAGGGATAGGAAGGACGGACGAACAGACACACAACCAGGGATATTATGGAGGGATTTTTCATAACTTAAAACTATAGAGATAGGAAGGTCGCATGAACGGACACACAACAAGGGTACTTTGGAGGGATTTGTCCACAACTAATATCCTATAGAGATAGGAAGATCGGATGAACAGACCCACAACCACGGTACTTTTGAGGGTTTTGCCCACAACAAACCTTATGGAGATAGGAAGGTCACATGAACAGACTCACAACAAGGGTACTTTGGAGGGATTTGCCCACAACTAATTTCCTATAGAGATAGGAAGGACAAATGAACAGACCTACAACCAGCATTCTTTGAAGTGGGGGGATCCTAATTTAATTTAATTCCCAATATAAAGAAGGGCAGACGGATGGACAAACAGTCAGGATACTTCGGAGGGATTTCTCCACAACCATGGAACTGTAGAATCACCTATGGATGCAGTGTGGGTTCTTCAGAGGGAAATGATCAGCAAATTCTCCTACAAATGATTCCTTAATTTCTTGTCATTTCCTTTTTTAATTGCTCCTAATCTTCACAACAGTTGAATTACAGAATTAAGGGATGTCATACACATACATTGTATAACAAAAGTACAGATTTTCATATGCCAGATCACCATAAGGACCCATTAACACATATTTAATTATATAACAAATATAATTTGGGTTTTTTTTTTAAAGATTTATTTTTGAAGATTTAACAAATGTATCAGAACTTGTCTCAAAATAATTATTTGTAATATCTATAAATATTTCATTTTAAAATGTCAATATTTACTTCAGCAACAGGTGCAGTTCTACAGAGGTAACTTAGCACTGTAATTTTACAATAAAATCAAACATAGTAGACATATTTCTGAACATTTTCTTTAGGTTGGTAATGTCAATAGAATAAAAGTTCTGATAACACAACCGGTAGAAGATTAGAGTGAGATGTTTCGATGACTACACTGTCTAACTAGTGTGGAGCGTACTAACACTGACGTACATAGTTTACAAGATAGTAAGGTAGTACGTCAGTGCTAGTACGCAGCACACTGGTCATTTGTCTGATGGAGATGACAGTGAAGTCATCAAAACATCACTCTCTAATCTTCTGCTGGTTGTATTAGAAGAGCTTCTATTCTGTAGTAAACATATCTCTGTGTGTTCAGGGCTCACCCTGAACCAAAATTATCGGGTGCGCTCAACTGTGACGGCACTGCCTCTGCCGCAGGGCCCCCGGATTATGTAAGCGTGTCAGCTAGTAGGCCTACAATACACACGTGGACACGAAAGTACACCGACTTCACAGAGCGCTTTTGTGGGCTTTATTATCGTATTGTTAGGGTTTTTTTAAAGAAAAAAACACAGTAGCCAATTTAGTAGCCACTTTGTATTTTGAGTAGCCAATTGAAAATAAAAGTAGTCAATGGCTACTTTGGCTACCGACAGCGTGAGCCCTGGTGTTGAAAGCAGACAAAAGTACAATACATGAATCATTCTATGAAAAATATGTAAATCACTTACATGGACAAATAAGTTAAGATATCAAGATTGAATAATTTTGGTTTATTATGGCAATTACTGTTGTTTGTGTATGTTTGATAAATAAATTGGAAAATAAAGACAATGGAAATCCCAACAAATATTGTTGGTCTATTGTATTGTGGCAGAAATGCAATATTGTACCATGGTTATCCTGAAATAAGTCCAGGGGGCCAATGCTGTATCATAGCAACAATGTAGGCTTATTGCTGAACAATAAGGACTGTATCCATGTCATACATGTACACGTTTAAATCGGATTACATTTTGTAAGTAAAAATTAGGATGTTGACCCTTTTCAGGTGATCAAAAGTATTGTTTATTTATAGGGATAATTTGGTGCTAGGAGGAGGATGGGCAAAGATTTTTTTGGTTTTTTTTTGGTTTTTTTTTTGGGGGGGGGGGGAGGAGATTATAATGTAGATTTTCTTCATTTGTTTTGGAATGTTTTTTACATTAACAAGTACATTGCATTTCCATCACTGTTTCATTAATATTCACATTCACTTCTACTGACACATCAGTAATTCAATCAATAAAACATCACTTGCAACATTCAGTTTAGAAATGAGGAATTTATTGTCAAATCTAATAGCCTATCGCATATCTACTCTGATATCTGATTGACTATGATATTCATCACCTCAATATTTTTCATTAATCATTATGAATAGATACATACATTTCTACAAGACTTGAAAGATTGCTTTGTTTCAGTAAATTAACAATTAAATAATGCCATGGACAGCTGCCTTTCAACTCAAATCAAATCACAATGTTAGTCAATGTGATACTGACTGCCTATTAAGATGGGTGAATTTTCATAACACTTGTGTAACATTCAGACAATTCAATTAAAGATGTATGATATTAGATCACCTGTACACACTTGTGTAACATTCAGACAATTCAATTAAAGATGTATGATATTAGATCACCTGTACACACTTGTGTAACATTCAGACAATTCATTTAAAGATGTATGATATTAGATCACCTGTACACACTTGTGTAACATTCAGACAATTCATTTAAAGATGTATGATATCAGATCACCTGTACACACTTGTGTAACATTCAGACAATTCAATTAAAGATGTATGATATTAGTTCTCTCGTACACATTTGCATAACATTCAGTTACTTAAACAAGGAATCAAAAAATGATACATTAAGCCACTTTTACAACAAACTTTCTCCTTGGGTCACTTGTATAATACTTGTATGGTGTCTGTTTCTTTTTTTAAAGCAGTATATACTAATATGAAAAATTTTTTCAACACAAAAAAAAAAAAAATTTACAATGTAAATGTTAGCGACTGTTCTGAAGAAGCGTGAAAAAAATAGAACTTTTTGGGGAGAATATTTGTATACTCTACCAAGGGTCTTTCAATTGGTTCTACTAGTTGGTTCATCTGAAAAAAAAAAAAATAAATTGCATTTAACTCAACAGTGAAGTACATGGAGTGCTGTACGAAGAAATCAATTTCCATGTATTTTTATAGCACATTCACCTTGCTTATTATGAATTCTATTTTGCAGATAAAAATATCATAATAATTGGTATACTTTAGTAACTGAGAAAGCTAATTAGGTTGTGAAAACCATAATAGTCAAACATGTTATTAATATAAAAAAGATGTGAAAAGCAATGTTATATTACTGAACAAGTGCATTTTGTAACAACTGAAATTTACTTCAATTATTTCTGTTATTGATGCTGATTGATGTATACTTAATCACTGCAAGTACAGTCGAATCAAACAAGATGAGTTGAACTGAAGGCAGAATAGATTACTCGAAAGTAACATCTAATTGGGTTTACCTATATATTAATCATTAATATTAATATTATATTAATTATCATGATATGCCAGTTTTTCTAAAAAAAAAAAATGTTTACCTGACTTATGAATATCATAGCAACAATGTAGGCTTATTGCTGAACAATAAGGACTGTATCCATGTCATACATGTACACGTTTAAATCGGATTACATTTTGTAAGTAAAAATTAGGATGTTGACCCTTTTCAGGTGATCAAAAGTATTGTTTATTTATAGGGATAATTTGGTGCTAGGAGGAGGATGGGCAAAGATTTTTTTGGTTTTTTTTTGGTTTTTTTTTGGTGGGGGGGGGGGAGGAGATTATAATGTAGATTTTCTTCATTTGTTTTGGAATGTTTTTTACATTAACAAGTACATTGCATTTCCATCACTGTTTCATTAATATTCACATTCACTTCTACTGACACATCAGTAATTCAATCAATAAAACATCACTTGCAACATTCAGTTTAGAAATGAGGAATTTATTGTCAAATCTAATAGCCTATCGCATATCTACTCTGATATCTGATTGACCATGATATTCATCACTTCAATATTTTTCATTAATCATTATGAATAGATACATACATTTCTACAAGACTTGAAAGATTGCTTTGTTTCAGTAAATTAACAATTAAATAATGCCATGGACAGCTGCCTTTCAACTCAAATCAAATCACAATGTTAGTCAATGTGATACTGACTGCCTATTAAGATGGGTGAATTTTCATAACACTTGTGTAACATTCAGACAATTCAATTAAAGATGTATGATATTAGATCACCTGTACACACTTGTGTAACATTCAGACAATTCATTTAAAGATGTATGATATTAGATCACCTGTACACACTTGTGTAACATTCAGACAATTCATTTAAAGATGTATGATATCAGATCACCTGTACACACTTGTGTAACATTCAGACAATTCAATTAAAGATGTATGATATTAGTTCTCTCGTACACATTTGCATAACATTCAGTTACTTAAACAAGGAATCAAAAAATGATACATTAAGCCACTTTTACAACAAACTTTCTCCTTGGGTCACTTTTATAATACTTGTATGGTGTCTGTTTCTTTTTTTAAAGCAGTATATACTAATATGAAAAATTTTTTCAACACAAAAAAAAAAAAATTTACAATGTAAATGTTAGCGACTGTTCTGAAGAAGCGTGAAAAAAATAGAACTTTTTGGGGAGAATATTTGTATACTCTACCAAGGGTCTTTCAATTGGTTCTACTAGTTGGTTCATCTGAAAAAAAAAAAAAAATAAATTGCATTTAACTCAACAGTGAAGTACATGGAGTGCTGTACGAAGAAATCAATTTCCATGTATTTTTATAGCACATTCACCTTGCTTATTATGAATTCTATTTTGCAGATAAAAATATCATAATAATTGGTATACTTTAGTAACTGAGAAAGCTAATTAGGTTGTGAAAACCATAATAGTCAAACATGTTATTAATATAAAAAAGATGTGAAAAGCAATGTTATATTACTGAACAAGTGCATTTTGTAACAACTGAAATTTACTTCAATTATTTCTGTTATTGATGCTGATTGATGTATACTTAATCACTGCAAGTACAGTCGAATCAAACAAGATGAGTTGAACTGAAGGCAGAATAGATTACTCGAAAGTAACATCTAATTGGGTTTACCTATATATTAATCATTAATATTAATATTATATTAATTATCATGATATGCCAGTTTTTCTAAAAAAAAAAAAATGTTTACCTGACTTATGAATATGTATTTCTCTAACAATTAATTGACCTCCTACTGTATCAGTACATTTGTATGTATGCATGTAGTTTTAGAGGTCAAATTAATTTCAACCAAATAACGATAGATATGCGTGGGCTTATTAAATATCAAAAGGCACGAGCTAATATTGCTGGACACATGATAGGGTCGCTATTGGTTACGAATCAGTAATGTCTGTATGATTGTACTGACCTTTTCCATAAGTGTCATTACATCATCTTTATATGAATGTTCTTTTACGACATGGATAAGTGCTTGAATAAATCGGGATCCAAAAGAAACTCCCCGAAACATTGCATTACCTGGAAAGAAAAACAACATGTACAAAATTTTTAACATTCAGAGTTTGCAAAATGTCAAAAATCTAAAATTCCACTTTGAAATTGAGGTTACACAATTCGCTGGGTACTTCTTTTACTAATTACATTAATTATTTTTTCAAAGTGACAAATTAGCACACATATTAGGAGTGTTTTTAGTAAAAACATTTTTTTTGAAAAATAACTTACGAGAAATATCATATATAGACAGAATATAGAATTAATGTTTGAAATTTCATGTACCAGGCTCTATTTTACCTATTTTAATATACATGCTTTGAAGTGTTCCACATGATTAGTGAAGATGTGTAGAGGGTCACATTGCATGATGGAAAAGATTTCCTTGTCATACACTAGGAGAGACAGGTGGGGGTATTCCCGTCTCAGGACAATCATTTAATGTCTTGTGTGACGTTGCGTGTCAATAATTCAATACTGTCACATCAACAATGCCCAACATGGAGATATCAACACCATTGTATGAAATGAAGCCAACATGGGTCTTTAGGGTGAGACAGGGTGATCTCAACCCTCTGGGAAAGATTATTAAGTATGAAATCACATGACAAGCCTCATGATTGCCAACTTAAGAATCTTTGACCTTGGGTTAAGATCACTTAACTTACCCACAATAAAGTAAACATTATATCAATCTCTCTAACACATGGAACATACCAAATCCACTTTTAGTACATAGGTACTGTACATGTACATCTCAAACCATACCAACATCTTATAAATTGTTGCTCAGTATATGTAAGAACAAGAGATCCCAGAGGGATCTTGGCACCCAACATTTGAGGATCTGTTTTCAGTTCTTGAAGATTTGTTTATTTTTTTTTTTGTTACAGGTGTTGTAAATGTTCATGAACTGGTCTTCATTGAATGTACTCAATGATGGCACAAGATATTTTTATTAAGCACCTATTAGCAAATATCATTTGAAAAAGATCCCAAAGTATCATTAGATAGCAGTCAGTTACAAGTGGATAATGGACAATATGCTTGTGCTGTATTACTGTTGACATCCAAGATGGCTGCCTGTGGGCCACCATGATTTCAAATCAGTCCAAAAAAGGTACAATGCAAAAAAGGAAATATACAGAAATGCAAGATGGCCAACTCAGTTCAAAAAAGGTACAATGCACAACTAGGGACCAAGGGGAACCTGCATATGAAATTTGAGAAAGATCCATACAGTACTTTTCCAGAAATAGCAGTAACAAACTTTTACTTCCATAATCCAAGATGGCTGCCTATCGGCCATGTTGAATGCGAATCAGTTCAAAAAAGGTACAATGCACAACTAGAGACCAAGGGGAACCTGCATATGAAATTTGAGAAAGATCCATCCAGTATGTTTCCAGAAATAGCGGTAACAAGAATTGTTTACGGACAGACGGATGCCTAGACAGACGGACGACAGACCACAGACGCAGGGCGATTTGAATAACCCACCATCTATTAGATGGTGGGCTAAAAATCTGACAATTACACTGTGTTGTTGCCCTAGCAATAAACATATCCCTTGGTACAGTTCTTCCATCCTCTGTTTCCTTGGAGACCATACTGTTGAGTATGTCCACTGAAAGGCTACTATAGTCTATTTCTTCACTGCCAGATTCTTCATCCACTCCTTCACTGACAGCTTCATCCACTCCTTCACTGACAGATTCTTCATCCATTCTTCTTGATTGTCCTGTCAATGTAAAACATCATTAAAAATGTACAACAATTTTTCTTAGTTCTAAATTTTCCAGTTACGTTTAAAGTGAACACAGATAACTGTAAAATAAATCAAATTAAGTTATTTCATTTGATAAACAACCATTTATCTCTTTTCAAGAATTCAAATTAGTTTGACTTTTTAATTTAATTTACTTACAATGTGGGTGAAGTTCACATATCCTCTCTTATACAGATACTACAATTGCAATGTATACATCTCAATGATCCAGTTAAATAATAACTAAATGAGCAGACCATATAGATTTGTGTTCCTACTCCCTAATCTCATTATCTTACAAAATCTGTTGAGGTGGTTATCAGATACCTTATACCAATCTTGTACTTTACCCTTTTTCCAAATTGTCATGGGTAACCTTTGACCTTTAACCTTGAAAAACGAGCACCAAAATTTAATCAAGTGTAGAACTTGTTGTCAGATTATGGTGTGACAATAAACTAAATAAGTTGAGTGGTTCACAAGATATCTTGTACTCAAAATACATGTTATTTATTGCAAAAGTGATCCTATGTGACCTTTGACCTTTAATACTGTTCTATGATCACCAAAATCTGAGCAGGTGTAGAACATGTGGCATAAACCAAATGTATCTATGGGTTCATGAGATATTTTGCATTTAAGCACTCAATGTTGACCTTTGACTTCTAAACTTTATCAACGACTACCAAAATCTGTGTCAGTTATAGGACTTGATGTGATGATGTTATGGTGTGAATATAAATCAAATATATCCAGGGATCTTCACAAAATAATGTACTCCAAGCTTTTCATATGAAAAGTGGTCAAGTGTGCCCTTTATTTGACCTTTATTTGACTCTGAACTTTGACCAATGACATCCAAGATCTAATCGGGTATAAAAATTGATGTTGTGCTATATGGTTCCAACATGAAATAATTCTGTCGAAGTGATTACTATATACACCACCCACCCCCACACACCACCCCCCACCCCAACCCACTTTCCTTTAATCTTTATTAGGGATTTATAACTATCAACTATAATGAGATTTTACTTTGACATCAACAAAGATGAATTTTGAAAAACACACATCAGTACGCTAATGAACTTTCGGTGGCTGATACCAATAAAAGCATATCTTAAAGTCTCAAATCATCAGTTTTGCACTTAATTGACCTGGAAGTAAAGGTCAAGTTGACTTACTTTGGGTTTTATAAAGATAACTTGGAGAGAAATATAGTTAGATCTTAAGGACAGTAAATTTGATAAGCATGCATATGAACTTTGACCTACAAAGATGAATTAAAGCCATGGTGACCTAAATATTGTATATCTAACTACTATTTGTAATGTAGAGATTCTTCCTGAAGAAGAAATTATCACTATTAAAGGACAAAAAATTATTATCATTATCAGAACCAGAGTTAATATCAAATATATTTATCCTATGATAAAGACTCTGAAATGTGGGAGGGCAATACTTGTTTAAAAGTAGAGAGACCAAAGCTTCATTACAAAGCATGGTAAAGCTCATTGCTGCTTGAAACTGCAGAAACAAGACATTAAATTCCAGATAGATTAATTATGAGAATGTCCTATTTCAGCTTATTCTCACTTTAATTTATATATAGGTACAGTTATGAGGTCAAACCAGACAAAATATACTAACTTTGTTGTCTACTGCAGGCTAAGATAAAGAAGAGTTTAGGTTTTCCTGTTAGTTCTGGGCAGTGTTCTTCATTGAACAGTTTGATTATGTCTCTAAGGTTAACAGTTCGACCGTCTGTCCCGTAAATCTTCTCCCCTTCTCCGTGTGATAAAATTACTACAACTAAAGCACCAATCTGTTGGAGATTATCTCTATTTTTTTCTTCATTTAAGATGTCCAGCATCCTCTGAAACCAAAATAATACAGGATACATGTACATGATATTTTTGATAAAAACATCCATCACTGTCTGGTATCACAAAATAAAGTGCTAATGAAAACCATTTCAGCCCCGACAAAATATTTGATTTTATGGTTTCCTCCGTTTCTAGAAGACTTCGACAGAGAACAATTCTAACATTCATGGTAGTGTACAATTCCAAGGACCACTGATTTTCCTTCACTTTTTTTTTTTAAAAGTCTCGTGCTTCATGATTTACCTCACAAGAACAATCGTTGTAGGTCTTTGTGTGGAAATCCAACTTCTTGAAGAGCAGATCCAGGCTGGTTGCATCAATATTTCCAGTGGTTCGTGGTGGCAGTCCAGAATTTGCCAGAAATGTAGAATTATTGATGATGATAATCCGTCGCTGATATTTTGGATCTACCGGGTAGACCTGAGAGAAGAAGATAACAAAGGATTTGGTTTTCTCATAAAACTCTTCGTAGATTTGTAATAAAACTCTTCGTAGATTTGTAATAAAACTCTGCGTAGATTTGTAATAAAACTCTTCATAGATTTCTAAAACAAGTAAAAAAAAAAACCCTCGCTAGCTTCCCATGTTGTATGGAAATTAAATCCCTACTTGCTAATGTTATCTCAACTCAAAAAGAATACATCTCATTGGTGTAAAGAAAAATTTACTTTTCAAGAAAGTTCTAACCATTAATCATGTGTTATTCCATGAAACTAAGAAAATACAGAGATAAACCAGTCACATTTGAACATTTATTCATATACTGAATCAAATAAACAGTACTTATTCAATGTACGTGGAAACAGGTGCCCTTTGAAAGTAACAGAATGAAAATGAAATTTCTTCAGAGCACATCAAAATATTGCCAGATATATACCATGTAGAAAAATTGACATTATTTGTGAAGAAAGTATTGGTTGATTTCAGTTAAGTCTATACAAGCAGTAAATATATGATAGTACGGTCTTCACTTTTACAGTTGTCCAGATTGGGGCTAGATCACAAGCACAAATTTACACACATACGACAGAAAATACTTTTGTGTCTATAAAACTTTCTATCCTATTGGTATCAATACATCTCTATAGATTTTCCTTTGATTGTGGTAGAGAAATTTATTTTAAAAAGGAAACTTACCAGAAGTTAAAGGATAAGATTTCTGAGTGTGGAATGGTATTTAAAGTATGGTCCAAATACTATAATGATGAAGTGCAGCCTCATTTTCTTTTTAATTGACTTTGCTGCACTTGATTTTTATATGATTGCTCATTTAATAATATTCCTCTGCACATTATCAACCATAAAACAAAATGAGGTCCAATGGGCCTGCAGTGTTCACCTGGTGCATTTCGACACATTTGACACCTGTGACCTTAAAAGTGGGTCAAGGTAATTTTTTTAACAATCTAGGTAGTCCTTTTTCCCAGTATCCTAAATGCCCAATATCATTGCCCTCAGCCTTTTGGTTGCTGAGAAGAAGTCATTTGAAGATTTTCAAATATTTGACCCCTGTGACCTTGAAAGTGGGTCAAGGTTATTCATTTAAGCAAACTTGGTAGCCCTCCATCCCAAAATGTTACAGGCCCAATATCAGTATCCTGTGCCTTTTCATTATTGAAAAGAAGTTGTTCGAAGTGAAAGGTTGACGCCAGATGGACTGACAAACGGAAGGATGGAGGACGAACTGATGACGAAGCTGCACCACAGCATGAGCTTTAGGCCAGGTGAGGTAACAAGGTAAGGGAAATTTAGAGTAGGGCAGGTGCCTATCTTTACTGTTAGTGAAGCATTTAATTATTTTCATATTGATTAATTTTTTTACCAAATCTTTTTTAGATGTCTGTATTGGGACCAGAAATTTAAACATGTAGTGGAGTAGGGGTTCCACTTTACCATGTTGTATTGATGGACACTGATATCATACAAGGTATTGTTGTATTTAGGGGACCTTAGGCAAGTAATATCAATAAATAGATTTAGATGGAAATTGTTTTCATTTGCCATACCTGATCAGTAGCTATTTCCATAGAAAACTGCTGCAACTGCTGTTGACTGAGTGCGGGTTTATTTATATTCATATCAGCAAGAGGACGTGAATGTGACCTTGTTCTTGGCCAGTTACTTGTTCTTTCTGCAGAAGTAGATATATGTCACAAAACTTTTGTTTACATATATACAACTAAAAACAAAACTTAATTATATCACAGCGACCTATTTGTGTTAAACAATAAAGTTACCTGAATCAACAATGAACTTGAACTAACACTACACAAAATGTCATCAGTGATATACTTCATATGCTTTCATTGACTCAATTATAAAACCACTACGACCTATATTAAAACAAAATGTTATTATGCCTATATTTATACAATTTTTATGATAAGTCCAGCAGGCTAACACAAACAGATAACAGACCACATAGCAACATCATCTTTACTGAATTTGATTGGCATGTGTGGGCTTATGATAACCAGGCATGAATTTGGTGCCAAGTAAAATTTGGGTGGAAGCTGTGACCTATTTTAGATCCCTGGACTCAGCCATCCCATAATTCATCTGTGTATAAAATGTGGTAAATATTGGCGAGATCTATATACAGCAAGTTAACACTATCATCATCTGAGGTCAAATAGGTACAACAATGCTACAAATGTTTGTTAATTTGTTAATTTGGAAGCTAGCACATCAGATTTGATTTGTTGCAAACATATGATGAACAACTACTGTGATTTTAAGACGAAGATAAAGTAAATAACTTATTGTTTCATTGAAAGCATTCAAGCATGCAAATAAATCATAAAATTATTTACTTGCCTGCAAAGTTTGATGCGTAGTTTTGTTCTACAGGTTGGGATGACGAAATTCCTCCCGACCGTGCAACATGTTCATCACTACTGGAAAAAGTAACTTCTTGTCCTCGTTCAGTGTTGCCCCTTGTGGTATTTAATAGTTCTGTAGCCAGTGAATTATCTGAAGGAACACTTAAGCAGCCTTGTAGAGAACAAGCAGCCTCTTGATTATGAGCCCCATAAGGGTTTTGATGGATGTTCTCCGCACACCTTTGTTCCTCACTTGAAACCTCTGGGTTACCATGGGCAACGTGTAGGTCAGATCCAGACACTAAAATGCCTGAACTTAGACTGTTTTCTTCAGAAACTTGAGCTGTGAAGCTAAATGCTGATTTACTCTTTGTTTGGTTTCTTTGTAACATTTCATTATCATATTCGCTATATTCTGTCTTAGAATCATCTAAATTTCCCTGTTGTATTCCAAGGCTTCTAAAATCTTGATTATCATTCATTTCTCTTTGTGAAATATCAAAACTTGGAACCTTTAATAAAATAGTTTCGTCAGGAGAATCTGCTTTTGGTTTTGTTTCCCCACCTGAATTTGGTGGTTTCAAAACAAAAGCAATTAGGTTGTTTTTTGTAATTATCAAAGCTTCATAAAATGAATTAAATGCATTAGGACCACGCATCACCAGCAATGATAGCAGATGTCTTGTTTTACTGGCACTCGGAGATTTTGACTGAAAAGTAAGATCAGATAAGAGTGAATAGAGAAAAAGCAGATTTATCATATCTATCTATTATTGAAATTGTCATCTGTTGTTTTTTTTTTTTTTTTTTCTCTTCGAATTAGTTATTTTTTTCAGAATATTCCAGTCATTTGATTAACTGACTGGGTTTTTGTACAGACAAAGATTTTTCTTAGTTATAATATTGGCGATAATTTCTGTTTAATTGTAGTCTGTGAAAAGTTTTTAAACAATCTATTAAACATATATGCATTTGTCACCACTGAGAGTTTTCTATAGATCTTGTTTCTTAGATAACTTAGTATATCTATTTCACATGTAGACACATGTTATCACTGATTAAAAATCTTATAGGACGATGATTAATTTTTAGTCATTTTAAGGAAGGTTTAAGACAAAAGATCAGTTGAATGCACTGGTCAAATGACCATAAAGTTGTTTGTGATGACGATACAAATAAAGTTTTCAGTTCAACTAGTCAGTTAATAAATATCTATTGGATTTAGTTTGAATGTATTACATACTCATTAGACAATTGAAACCGTTGAAATCTTTTGAAAATAATGTATTTCTTGGTAAGAATTGTACTTTTAAAACACTAAGCATCCTTGAGGATCACTTAACCTAATTTTGTTTTTTCTAACATGTTCAAGAATATTTTTTTGATTTTGTATCATCTTATGTGCATATTAATAAAAATTATCCTGCAAACATGCCTTTCCTACAGTGAAAAAAATGCTCTCTAATTTAGAGTAACTTTCAAAAAAAAAGAAAAAAAGAATAGAACAGAAATTGATGTGTCACCTGCCCAGCAAGGTTTCTGGAGATGAGTGTTATGGAACAACAGCCATTGATATTCATTGTATGTATTCCATTTATACAATATGTCCATTTATTTCAGATGTGATGAGTAAACATGTCCCCCACTTGTATAAAACATCTCAACTTGAGATTTCCTTAAGTCGAGATTTTCCTCAGCTGATATTTCCTCAAAAATGGCTTGTATAAAATTTTCTCAAGGAACAGGAGGAAGTCATTGGCTAGGATGTCCTGAAATTCCTTGAGGAATTTTCATACAAGATATTTTCAAGGAGATATTAGCTGAGGAAAATCTCGACTTGAGGAAATCTCAAGTTGAGATGTTTTATACAAGTGGGGCCTGATGTAGTGTCGAAGGAACTGAATCCTGCACAGAATGAGAATTTGAAAAGATACTAATTTGCTTTAAATATGACAGGAACATGGACAACCCAGCTGAAAAGCAATCTAAAACAAGCCTCTTTGGTTAAGAAGAATTGTATGAAGTTTGAGTCTAATTGTCCATAGAAAACCCAAGTGATCACACAAAACCAATTTTCTTTTTAATGATGGGCTGACCTTGACCTTTGACTTTTGACCCTGATAAAAGCAATCTCACGCAATCCTTTGGTAAGGTTATTGTGCGAAAACAAAGATTGTACTTATTGTAACAGTGACCTTGGCTTTTGACCTTCAAACCTGAAAAGCAATCTCAAGCAGGCCCCTTTGGTATTTTTCATATTTTGTAATTGTCCAAAGAAAACTAAAGTTATTGCATGAAAACCAATCTCCTATATATGGTAACACAGTCCTTGACATTTGACCTCTGAACATAAAAAGCAATCCCAAGGAAGCACTTTTGGTAAGGAAGCAAAAAGTTAAAAAAAGTACAAATGACCTTGACCTTTGAACCTGAAAAGCAATCCCAAGGAAGCACTTCTGATAAAAGAAGCATTGTATGAAGATTGAGCTCGATCAACCAAAGTTATCTCAAATTAACATGTGAAAACCTTTGTGCAGATGACAGTAATGAAACGACAACGCTGCCGACATAGTAATACCTATAGATCACCTTTGGGAGGCAGGCGACACAAAATTTGGAATCACCTTGTATCTGGTGAAATGTTTGTACCGTTATCTTATATCAAAAATGCAACGTTCAACTTTGGAATCAGTTCTACAAAATTAGAAAATATCTGTCAGAAAAATGTTGAGAGAACTATTGAATATTTCAGCAACAATGAGATATAATTTTATTTCAACTGATATACTAATATAACAAAATATAATCAAAAGTATGTATACATATATACAAGTCATCAGACAGATGAATTCTGTAACAATTTTTGTTATCTGTTGGATGCCAAAAAGCCAAAGTTTATGACCAAGTACATTTTGTGTTAACAAATATAATGTTCATTATCTGGTCAAGGTCAATTTTTTTCTGTTTTAAAAAATGATTTGATAAAACTGATCAAATATTTGGTCCGAGACAAAAACAAAATGTAATACATTAAAGATAACCAAAATAAAAAAGAGATATTTACCATAATATCATCTACCATGTTCTCTGTGAAGATTTCGAATGCAATCAATTGGTCACACACTGCTTCAATATCTATCAGTTGCTTGACAATGAATGGTCGATATTTTCTCAGCAAAGTTGCATGATGCTCTTCCATAATGATGTATTCAATATCTAGCTTTATTTTCACCTGGAATAAAATGTATATATCTCTTCATCTAGAATAGTAATCACGATATCCTCCAGCGTATTTGTTCCAACCATGGAGTCTCATAGAGAAGATGGCACATACAGATCTCCTTTTCACAAGATATTACCTTAAAAGAATTTACATGTTTCCACCTGCTCTCTCTGTCTGTTGATAGGACTTTAGAAATTAAAAACTCCTATAAACTTTTGATTTATGCCTTAATTGCTGGGAACATGCCAACAGAGGAATTCTCTGGGAGTTTTTAAGAGAAACAGAAATGTTTGATGCCTCCTTTATAACAAGAGGCCCCCAGGCCTTAACGGTCATCTGACTACAAAAACTTTCAGCAGGGAGAAGGGTTATTTTTTCTACTTCGAATGAAATCTGTTTCCATGATGTAGACGGTAGTTTAGGTGAGGAGTAGGTAACTGTAACAAGTGTTACCAATTATTTTGACTGTAAAGTTGAATTTTAAGTTAAAGTTAAAGTTTGAAATAGGTGTTCGCAGGAAAACCATGATTTCGCAATCCTGTTACAAAATGGCCTCCCTGGCTTCCATGTCAAAGCTTTGGTAAGGTCAAAAGATGTTAAAAACTTTTATTTGCTACCTTTCCTTAACATTCCAATCAATTTTTAGCTCAGTGGCACCAGTGGAACTGGTGATGAAGTTTTAAATATGTTTTTTAAGATGGCGGCCATGGTGGCCATATTGGATTTCAGACATAGCCAAAAAATAACAACACTTGGTCAGGACCATCTCAGGATCATTCCATGAAAGTTTGAGCCCAATCCCACTGTTGGAACTTGAGTTTACGCATGGCGGACAAAGCATGATGCCTTTTTGTCATCAGGACATAAAAGGTCATATGACAGAAAAAAATATATACAGTGTACTATATATGTTGAAACATAGCTCATGGAATAACAATGGGCAATAACTCTAGTAAAATGTCAATAGATCAGTACTATATTCTAGACACTAGGCATTTTTTTCAAAGTAAATGATGGTAAATATGGATTTGTTTTCGAAGATAAAATTTGAGAGCTTTAGCACTGTTAAAAAGGGGCAATAACTCTATTTAAAATCTATCCTTCCAGTGATTTACTAAAGGCAGCTGTATATGCATATAGTGTAAAAAAACAAATGCAACCATGAGTTCTGTCTGTCACCAGACTTATCTATTAAGAACGAGTGTATTGCCAACATAGAGAATGGGTGTATTGACAGACGACGCTACTTACCTATGAAATGTGCAGTAATTGCATGCAGTTCGTACACCTCCGATTCTGATAGTTTAGGTTGTGTTTTCAAAACAATACGGAAAATAGATGGACTGAATCGATGACAAACAATTCTGTATGCAAAACACTTTGTACACGTCTATGATACACACACAAACATAGAAAACTATATTTGGAAATGAGCGCCCGCTTCTGTAATATCAAAATGTGTGTGTATAATTCAACTTAAAAAATAATTATCTAAGCATGTGCAGATATTATGTACAGATGCATGCATGACAGAATTATATGAAATTAATTGTTTTTAAATTAATACTTTGATCTAGATATTACATATCACGAACTTTCTTCAACATCATCACCTGAATGTTCAAGTAACTTTACGCGTTCGACGATGCCCGCGGTTGTATTTACACCATGTGACCTAAACACGCTTGCGCATTAAGGCATTTGGGAAGTGAAGGGAATTCACCTAACCTGGATAACTTAATGTTATCTTGGTTTCCTTGCAATTGACTGGGAAGACCGTTTGAAACAGATTTACTATTCTTTTAAAAAATATATGAAATTATAAGTATTTGTGACCTTTGGCTGCCGATTAATTGTCTGGTTTGACAACTCAGTGTAACCATTTCTTTTATATCATTTTCAATTCTCAATCTTTAAGATTCAAAAGTCATCTACATAAACTTACAATGTAACACAAATAGTTATTTGTCTTCGATTCACACATTCATCGCAACCAAAAACCCACATAACGTTCACTAGATGTGAAATATTAGTTTGTTTCTCAAACGAAAATCACACGCAATACTCTGTATATATGTTCAATGATCACATATTTGTCAAAACAGTTCGTACATCTCGTTTACCCTTCTATTGCAGTTTTCGATTGTAGCTTCTAAGGGGATCCGATAAAAATATAACCATTTCTCTTCCGTCAAACCATTTTTAAACCATATATTTAACACGAATTATACAACTACAAATATGGAAAGTAAAACATTAACAGACACTACATGTACATATGGTTAAGAAGAATTAAGTGATAAGCACTGACCAACTGTAATCATGACGAACCCGAAAAGATAAAACACCTTTTGTCATGTTAGTTTAAACAACATTTTATTTCATAGCGGATAGAGTTCTGTAAAACAGCTATTCCCTCATCAACACCCTCGATACTACAGGGGTTACATAGAGAATGCATGGTCAGTGTCGGATATTTTAAGACACTGACCATGTATTCCTGCAACAATGATTGAAAATCAGACTATTGAAACTTAAACAGTTTTGTTGTCCAATCTGTGTTTACCTGACATTGACGTTATGCTCAATTTTGTCTGATGACGGGCACGAAAATAATTGCTCTGCACGGAAACATAGTTCCAAACTTCATCTGATATAACAGCGATTTTATGAATTTTCATAAATCAGCTTATTCATTACCACATGTAAAATAACTTGTTTCAACAACTATTAATATTTCTAAACGTAATACTTAAGTAAATTCAGAGAGTAGATCTCTCGAATTATCGCACGTGTTAAAATACATTTGTTTTCCGTCATTGCCGAGTACAGCAAAAATATATGCGGCAGGTGCATTCCGACAACGGCGGTGCCAATTGCAGGATAAAATCACTTTCGGTCTCTGCACCCCTTAAACATGTCATGTGCGACACCTTGGGCATAAGACGGGAAGACTAGTTTGATCCTCTGATGTACAAAAAAAGGAATCTCGAGGTCGCATAACGGTATATATTGTAATGTCTTTGAAGTTTGTCGTCTCTCCTTTGTAATATTCAAAAGGAGCGTATTAGAATGTGACCGGTCATTTTTTTCTCTCCTTGAACCAATCATTACATCGCTTGTGCCTTCGAATTTGCCATGACATGTTCCAGGGGTGCAGAGAGCAAAGTTATGGTAACCCATGTAGTACCGAGTATGTCTCCTCAATTGTTTAAAAGCTAATGGAAATACCACCTGTTATTTTCAGGAGGATTTAGGTTGTTAATACAATGTAGATACATTGTAGACTTTTCACTAGCTAGGTCTATCGCCTCGGCAACAGTGAGAGTTATAATGAGACGAGATATCCTTGTAATATATAGTGATTTCCTGATTGAACAACATACAGGAGGTCCGCATCGTGATATCCAAAACCTTTGAGATAAAATGTCTGCCACAAGACACTTTACGCAAACTGTCTTTACTTTTACACAAACAGCTCCGGCTAGGGACAGAACCGCACGTGTTGGTATTTCGCTGTATATCGCCCCGTCAACAGCCTGGGTCATTTCAGATGGATACTCTTAGTAGTACAAGTAGCTTGCGGCCTTCTCACAGAACAGTATACGAGAGGTCCGTCGCATACCATCCAGGGTAATTGCCCAAAGATACAATCTCCACAGCACATCTCGTCCCGTTTCAGCTTCCCGCAAAAGACAATTCGGTGAACCGCACGCCCTGAAACTTCATCTGCCGCTCTAACGACCGAGATATCGGGATGATTACGTAAAGAAAAAGTCTCTCCTATCGCATGAATTTGTAGATCAAATTAATTCTACCGATTCAATTAAAGAATCGCTGATTTTTTTTTCATTGATGAATAAAAAGATTGTAAATTTTGTTGTTTTTTTTTTAAACAAAAATCTTTAAAGTGCAATACACATGAATGTATTTCAGTGCTATACAATGGACTACACATTTCTTTGTTGTCCTTGCGCGTGCTGCTAAGAAACCGATTTGCACAACGTGTTTGTGTCAAAGTTAACCAAAGACAAAATAACTTGAATGTACAACAAAGATTGGTGATTTATTCACCATCTTTATCAAATAATATCAGATTACAGCTATCAATCATCTATATATTTAATAATAAATTTCTGTCTTTCGATAATGCAAATATTCTTTCTATACTCTGTACATTTACATCCGCTCTACCCGAATGTTGGCTGAACTTCATTTCTCGAGTTTTTTTTTTTTTTGACGAATTTCCGTAGAATCTTTCTTGACCTGAGTTTCCACGATTTTGCATTCTGGTAAGTAAGGATACGACCATTCCAGCCAGTGTGAGTGTGTGCTGGGATGAGGCACATTTGTATATTCTAGAGCTCTTCATAGCATTATCGCTTTGTTGAAAATATGTACCGCTAATTGAGGTTGCCCATCCTAGTTGTCAACAATAGTGGTCAGAAAGTTCAGTTTGCGTTGTTCGTGTCCCCTCCTGGCTTGGAAGAGCTCCTCCGGGCATCTCTGTGAACCCAGTCCGTCAATGTCACTAAGTATGACAAATCGCCCCCTCTTGCAATTTGAAATCTTCTTGGGTACATTGATTCTCAATGTCATATTAAAAGATATTGATGAGTTTTAGCGAGACTTCAGGGTTGTGCAGGATTTCAATGTCGCCGTAATGAAAATAAAAATCAATGGCGTCATAATTCAGAATTTCTTGCATGCTTTCTCGAGACTAAATTTGTTGGAATTTCTACAAACTCCATATCTCTCTTTAGGATAAATTCGTGTTACGCTGAAGAAAAAAGAAAAAACTTTTCCAAAATGGATACTCACATCAATTTCACAAATATTAACTTTACATTTCTAGATAGTAGCAACCCTACCTGTGCAAATCTACGTTCTTTTAATGTATATATGTAATTGTATAAAATTTAGAAATCGATAAAAGTTAATTGTAGACAAAAAAATATACATAAAGGAATTAAACAAGTGTAGGTTGTTTTTTCTGTATTATGAAGTTTGTGCTGTGATCATTGTTCTATAACCCGTTTAAGGACTCCGTTGTCTCTTCTCCATTAGTCTCCGTTAGGGAAACTGACTAAAACGTTTGACTGTATGTAGCGGGTACTGTGGATGATGTACTTCCAAGCCTCTTACAATGTGTTCTAGAGCACTTTAAGAGCATCCTGGTAAAATTGTTTTATTTATTTTGGTTTCGTCTTGTCGATTAGGTTTTTATACATACATGTAGGTAGTGAAGGTGTTGTAATATGTTTTGATAGCTGTGTGCCTACAAATATCTGGTTGGTGAATTGGTAGATTCCTGTTTGCTATACATTTTAACACTTCACGCTACTTCTAATTCATTTCGATAGTTCATCGCTGTAGGTAAAACCTTTGTGGGATGTTTTTTTTTTATTTAAATAATATCCTAGTTACATAACATGAATTAGAGCAAGTTAATATTCTCTGCTTGATTTTCAATTTTTACAGAAAATATTTATATTCCCTGGTGATTTTCATATATACTCTCTAATAACTCCAAAAGCCCTCGGAATGTACAATAATTACTTTTGCAACTGAAAGTTCAGTCGATACACAACTAGTTACAATGCAGTATGTGACAAATAGGAAGAAAATGACATCATACAGTTATGACACCGCTAATGTTTGGGACTTTAAGAATACAATCAATTCTTAATGTGCCAAAGCATGCAGTTTCTACTTGCATGGTTTCGTAACACGGCCAATGTTGGACGTTTTTACATGACACGCCTGCCCTCGTGTCGTCATACCTCCATTCTCATCTCCTAGAGTTACTGCCCTTCGTTTCACTCTGTCATGTTCCGTTCGCGGAATCCAACAGCTGCCAAGTTTATATTGCTATACCATCTGATAGAGTGAAACGAAGGGCAATAACTCTGAAAAATCAGAAATGTGACACCCTAACCCACGAAAATCGTAATGTAAACTTTCTCCAAATACATACTACCACATGATACAGATTTTCTTGATTGGCTAATATTCTAACGTCCCATCAAGCCATTACAAGCCAAACTTTCTTAGAATTAGATGAAGACGAGCCATACGCTAAATAAACTACATCATAGTTGTTTCGTCCGTGTAGGACTCGTCAGTGATCTGCTAATGATCTAGTTTTAAAACCTAGGGAGCGACTGAAGAAACCCAAAATTGATCGAAAGAAATGTTAACAACTAGATGCAGAGATGTGATTGACCCATACTTTAATACATTTTATAATTTTCATAAACACGTATGCGATGATTTCAAAAGAATGTCAAGTATACATGTGTAGGAATTAAAACGTGGCCTGCAAACTTCTGGAACTTAACACCTACCCGCGGTATCTAACTATGCGTGGGCAAAAAATTACTGATGATGCGGTCTGAACCACAGGGAAATAGCATGGTGTTATTTTGGCGCCATTTTGACCGATAACGTTTAAAATAATATACGAAATGTAAACATAACCATTGAACACCTGTCAGATTGTATTTATTGTTTACATGAATGCAATCTGGGTTTCAGATAAATAATCATGACGTCATGTACCCATTTCACATATGGTTGAGTAAACTGCATTTTCACAGACTTGGA